AATAACTGAAACAATTCATATGCACATATTCACTCCTAGGGTTTACCTCACTTCGATTGCCTTCGGTAAACAGTCATTAAGCATAAGAGATTTTAGCGGTTGCCCTCTAGTCTAAAAGATCAAAATGTCCCATTCGAATGTTGCCTCAAAAATGTTACCTCGGAAATATCTTAAGACTCTAGGGTTACTACTAAAGTTTTCTAACTATTGCTTTAGTGATTGTACTTGTCCCTTTGGAATGTCCCTTACAAATCCAACGACGAGGCTACCTACTCCTTAATAGTAGGATACATTTGTCTAAAGGAAACAAGAACAAACAATCTTTTTCTCGACTAGGTAGATTAGTTCCTAGGTACTTGCTCAAACAATAAAAACTTTTCACACAAACACCTTTCAAAACAATTTTCAAAACAAACTTCGTCACATCCTTGAGGACTGATACAAGGGTTATCACGAAGTAAAACATTTTCAAGACAAACACACACAAGCAATTCGAAAAATGAGCAAGTACCTAAGAGCCCATAGAAAACCATGGATAGAAAGGGTGCTAACACCTTCCCTTTCTATAATATACCCCTCTAACTCAGAAATCTCGAAAAAAGGTTTTTTCTGTTCTTTTTCCTTTTCCATGATTGGATAAAATAAAAGTTAGTGGCGACTCTTTATTACCGCGACATTTTGCAAACAAAAAACATAAAATGCAAACTAGTAAAAACAGTCAGTTCTGCCACCGTATCACAGTTTGCATAACACCTCCATACTTGTTGTCCCCTTCGATTTGCCATCCTAGACAGAATCAAAGGACCTGGGTTTGGCACCCAGGTCATGTTCTTAGTTTACTAACATTTACTGCAGATTTGGCCTGGAAAAGACCCAGCGCGAAGGATCGAAGGGCCTGGGGTTTGATACTCAGGCCCTGCGCTTTATTTCGCTAACATACTTTTGCAGGTACAGCATCCCAGATCGAAGGAGACACCTTCTTTGGATCGAAGTCATGGCCTTCTCAATCGAAGAAGACATCTCCTTCCTGGATTGAAGGGCATTCCCTTTCCCCAAGATCGAAGGGCAGTCCCCTTCCTGGATCGAAGGATGTTCATGCCCACTTCCTGGCCCAATCGAAAGGACCATGACCCTCTCTGGATCGAAGCTACCATAACCCTCTCTAGATCTAAGATTCCATTCCCTCCCAGAGTCAAAGCTCCTTCTTTTCCCCGGATCGAAGCTCCTTTTTTCCCCTCTGATCAAAGGATACCTTTTGCCTTTTATTTTTGTTTTCATTGACGGTTTCTTATCTTTACATTAAAATCAAAATCACAAAAAATTAGACTATTTCTTTTTCCAACTAAATCAATTTCGTAAATAAATAAATAAATAATTTTAAAAATTTTCTTAAAATTAAAATCAAATAGACTTAGGCCTTTATTTTCTTTTATACCAAAAACAACAAGAAAGATTTTATGCTTAAAATTTTTAGATGTTATTTTCAAATTCGCGCGCATTTTATTTTATTGTAACTGCTCACAGTTGTAATAGCTTTAAATTTAAAATTTCGCATTTTATTTCATGCATTTATATTGTAACTGTCCCGAAGCCTTGTAATAGCGTAGGATTTACAATTCCCACATTTTAAATTCCTGCACATATTTAACTGCTTAGATAACTAGGATTGTATGACAAGATCTGAAAACAAACGGTAGAACACCTAAACGTTTAAAGATAAATAACTGAAACACAACATAATTGCACACAAGCACCTCTAAGGTACGCCCACTTTGGTTGCCTTCAATAAAACAGTCATGGGGAAGGAATGCTTTAGCAAATACCCGCAAAAATAAAAAAGATCATAGTCCCTCGATGACCCTACGATGTTTCCTTTTGGTAAATGATCTCGTCCCTTAAACGAAATTGCTAAAGCTTCTTCGTATGTTGCCTTTATGACTGTAACGTCCATTCAAATGTCCCTCAATATCCAACGATAGGGCTACCTATTCATTAATAGTAGGATAGTGTTGTCTAAAGGATAGGAGAAAAAGAACGATCCTTTTCGAGTAATAAAGTAGATAGCTGTTAGAAGTTTGCTCAAACTATTTTTTGCACTTACACAGAAAACTACTTTTTAAAAACAAGTTTGAAAAACATTTGCTTTGTTAACACTCTTGAGGACCGATACAAGAGTTAAACACAAAGCAAATCGCCGTACTAAGGAATTTTCGAAACATTTTCAAACACACAAAGCACAAAAGTATTTTGAAAAAAGGAGAAAACCTCTAAGAGCCCGTGGAAAACCACAGATGGAAAGGGTGGTAACACCTTCCCTTTCCATAATCTACCCCCTTACTCAGAAACATCTCAAAAAGGTCTTTTTCTGTTCTTTTCACCCTTTCCTTAAATTGGATAAAAGAAAAGACGGTGGCGACTCTTGCTTACCGCACATTTGCGAATAAAAAACGCAAAAAACCAGTATATAAACAGTCAGTTCTGCCACCGTGTAACATTGCCCCGATGTCTTCGAGCATCTCATCCCTTGTTGTCGGAAGAAACTGATTGAATTGATCGCACCATTCGAACTTGATGTTGGTAATAAAGATAGTTGTAAGTGATCCAATGAGACATAGTCATGCGCTTTAATCCCTAATTTTTTCCCGGACCGTCCTTTCGAGTTTTCAGTCCACCGGGATACCCTTTTTTTACCAAGCTGCCTTTTCCGGTTTTCGACTTATCGGGTCTATAATCTTTTATATATATCCCTAATTTTTTCCCGAACCCTTTTGGTTCGTCGGGATGCCCGTATTTTTTCCCAGGTCAGTCAACCTAGCAGGTCGTTTTCATGCGTAGAATCTTTTGACTATGTCTGCATTCACAGGGTGTGGAAAGTCTTCACCGTCCATAGTGGTAAGTATCATAGCGATGCCCGAAAATATCTTCTTGATTACAAATGGCCCTTCGTAGGTGAGAGTCCATTTTCCCATGGGACCACCTTGCGGTAGAATGATGCGCTTTATTACCAAGTCACCAACCTGATATACCCAATGCTTGACCTTCTTGTTGAAAGATTTGATCATACGCTTCTGATACATCTGACTGTGACAGACAACCGTTAACCTTTTCTTGTCAATCAAATTCAATTGGTCCAACCTAGTCTGGATCCATTCGTCTTCGTCTAAATATGCATTTTCATGATCCTTAGAGAAGGAATTTGAACTTCTACAGGTAGGACAGCTTCCATACTGTAGATTAGAGAAAACGGGGTTGCCCCAGATGATGTTCGTACTGAAGTGAGATATCCATGAAGAGAAAATGGTAACATCTTGTGCCAGTCTTTATATGTCACTGTCATCTTCTGTATAATCTTCTTAATGTTTTTATTGGCGGCTTCCACGGTTCCATTCATCTTTGGTCAATACGGAGAAGAGTTATGGTGCTTAATCTTGAACTGCATGCAGAGTTTCGTGATCATAGTATTGTTCAGATTAGTACCATTGTCTGTGATAATCCTTTCAGGGATGCCATACTGACAGATAAGGTTATTCTTAATGAACCTGGAAATAACATTCTTAGTAACAGAGGTGGACGGGGCTGCTTCAATCCATTTCGTGAAGTAATAGATGGCGATGAGGATGAAACGATGTCCGTTAGAAGCAGTAGGCTTGATCTCTCTAATCATATTAATGCACCACATTGCAAATGGCCAAGGAGAAGTCAAGGCATTCAGAGGTACTGGAGGCACATATACTTTGTCAGCATAGATCTGGCACTTGTGACAAGTTCTTGAATGACGATAGTGTAATACCCCAAATTTGTCCTACCCTTTTACTTTTATTCGGCTTATGCATTTTTCACTTCTCATCTCATCTGCATAAATTCCATTAGGTCATAATAAATCATGCATCATCAATAAACTTGGAACTGATATCAAGGATCTTGATGCTAGGGTTTCTTTCTCTTTGAGGCTCTCATCTTGACACAAGCTTGTTTCAATTGGTTTCTCTATCAAACATTGGTTTAAAGCTAGGGTTTTGGACGCATGGCTATTGTGGACTTCTTTCTTATCAAGCTACAAGGACATCTTCGTCATGAGATTTTAAGCCATCAAGGTGCATCTCAAGGAATCTCAGGGTTTTGTGATCATCATTACTCATATGCTTCTATTTGTTCCTACCTACAAGGTTTTCCTCATTAAATTTGCTTCAAGGTCATTGGTTATCAATTGAGGTTCCTTGGCGGAGTGAATTGCAAGGTTTAAATCATAGTACAAAGGTGATTTTATGGGAGTGTAATATGATCAATACATTGTTATTGTTTGTTGCTTCAATTATAAAAGGTGGATTTGAGATGGAAGTTAAGAGTTATGGAATGGAGACGAGATTGATTTGGTTTGGTTGATTTGGATTCATTATTTAGAAATGTTAATTCAAAGGGCTACCTAAAGTCATGAGTTTAAGTTTGTGTTAAAACTAATAAATGGACCAAAGTCATCTCAAACTTACGAGGTTGGAAGATGTACCTATGTGGTTCAAAGTACAAGTGCATCAAAATTAGACAAGATTTGTTCAAGGTTTCCAAGACATGTTCATCACTCAAGTTTCAACATTTTCAAAATCAACACATTCAATTCAATCAAAACCCAATAATTCAAGCATATTACAATATAAGGGAATTACATAAAGGATCATTGTTTGGGCCAAGGTCTTCCTCAAGTTTTCTCTGCATCTTATCTTATGATCCATTCAAGTTTGCGTTGAAGAGAAAAAGACATGGATTCAAAAATAGATTAAGGCTAAAATTTATTTGAGAAGAACATGTTTCATTACAAATATTCAAAGGGGGATTACAAGTTGTGTCTCATTCAACAAAAGATCAAATTACACATATAAGAGAAATTATACAAAATACGTGGGAGCCTATTGTTTCTAATCCGAATAAAATGGCCTATTTTCGATTCAATATTCAAACATCTCACTTTACTTTAATCTTCATTGATTCATCATCGCCATGTGCCTTCATATTTCCTCCAAGCATTGCAACACGAACCAAACTGCAGCCATGTCTTGAACCATGTTGTTGCCCTACAAAAACAGTCATAAACAAAAGCAATTAAGCATCACGAAGTTATGACCAAACCGCCCTACATTCAAGCTACTTACTCATTCCAAAGCATTTATATCAGTTCAACATACCTTGTACCAATTAATCTGAGAACTAAAAATCAGAATAGGCAACCTACACTCTTCCATTTTCAAAATAGAAAAAATGATATTCCTCAAGCATAACAGTCCATCGCAAGTAGTGAACAAAAACATAAAGATTAATTAATATCCAATATTTGAACTATTCCAGTTAAACTCATTCAGCTTCTACCGTAAACTAACCCCAACTTGCAACAAAATGGACATCCCATAACTGTCATAATTTCCTATTCCTAACTAGTTGTAACAGAATTGTTCAAACTGTAACTAACTCTAACCAACTTCCTAACAAAATTTCAGAGTCTCTAACTAACCTTCAAAACCTTATAACAGGACCTTAAACAAATTCCATCTCATCTAACAGAATTCCCAAGCCCAACTAACTCCTATAACTAAGCCTAATAGAATTTAACTCTTAACTAACTATCTCAAATTTAACAGAATATAAAAACGAGAAGCTCACCTTGAATCTAGGATTCTTAAATCATTTCAGAAGAATCACCCACAAAATCTTAAAACTCTCTCAGGTTTCACTTCATCCCTTCCACCATCATCTTCAACCTTCACTCTCAATCTCCATTCTCTCTGCAATTCTCCATTCTTTCTCTGCAATTCCTCATCATTTTTTCTCGATTTGCACTGAGGCTATTTCCTAGAATCCTCATTCTCCATCGCTTCACGCTTTATTCTTTCTCAACCGCAACGCTTCTATGTAAATCGTACATCATCATCGTCGTAAATCTGCAACAACAATGAATTCTTTGCATCTTTAATCTCACATCGATTCAAAGTAACAAAACAATGACATCTTGCAACAGTTCAATAATCACATAGAAAGAAGAAGAAGAGTGAAAGAATAATTCTCACATTAGTAGTAATCTAAATTACATACCTGAAGGCAAATAACTTCGCTGATAATCACCTTCCTCAGTTTATACTCTGACCGGTAAGCTTCGGAATCCTTCGAATCATCCATCTCCGCGTCATTTTCTTTACATGTGGTGGCATCTTTTACTTGTAAAGGAGGATCTCAGTGTTTGTCTCTGTTAATTTACCATCACTGCCACAAATTACAAGCTTACAATCCCTAGGGTTTCTAGAAGAAAGCTTCAATGTTGTGGATTGACGAGAATTTAGAAAATTCAAACACAAGATTCATGATCAAGAGTTAATTCGAGGTAGGGTTCAGGTTCATGTTTTAGTGATTAGAAGAGTTCAGCAGTGGCGACGCCATCAGAAGCCGCATGCGAATGTTGAGAGAACAAAGAAAACAAACGGGAAAGAAAGAGAGAGCTGAGACGATTGAACATGAAAGGTCACAAGATCTAATGACACCAAACGACACCATTTTACTCTCTTTCATTTCTTTTAATGTATTTAATTCTTTTTGTTCTTTGAATAATAAGATATGTGATGTAAAAAGAAATTGATTGTGGATCTGGACTGAAACCCCCACAGGCCCGATGCTTTTTAGAAGCCTGTTTTCCTTGTACAATAAAATAGTCCTCCTGGGCTTGTCCTGTATTGGGCCTTGCACCCAGAGTTATTATTTGGAGAGAATTACTACCAGAGGCCCATCCTTGTGTTTTTGGTGAATGAAAACTGAACACATCAAAAAACCTGATTCTGGATCGTTGATGAGTTGGGCCTAGCGCCTGATTTCTATACTAGACCCCTGGAATCAATTTGATACTCCTATTTCCTTTATTAAATTTAGGATTTTTCCTTTTAATTTTTCTATGATAAAAAGGTGTAAAGTCAATAAAATTTGTTAGGCTTTCTTAATTGATTTTAGGAATTAATTCTTTAGTTTTCGATAGAGTTTTCCGAATATAAAAAACTAATAAAAAATATTTTTTCTTTTAGTTTTTTATTCATATTTTCATACCATTATGCCTCGTTATTTTTTTGATGCATTTGTTCATTGTGCAAGGTACATTCTTGATGCTTTCGGTTATGTATCATATTGAGTTGTTATATGATCGAAACATACAACTTATGCTTACTTTCGATGCGACACACCTTATTTCTCATCGTCCTGAGAAATTCATATCATATTATATGTTGTCCTGATACATGTGATATTTTATGATGCTTTGTGCAGGAACTTCTGATTATGCATTGCATTCGCAACACGCATTTGATTTTATCTTAGTTGGATATCGTTTCTGAATTTTTTTGTTTCTTGGTGAAGCTTGCTCGACGCGTACTCCCTACTTCTCCATTGTTTTCATCTGCTTTTGATGATTTACTTGCTTGTGGTAGTTGCTGTTACTACCCTTGTATTTCTCCACACTTTATCGCACTTCTTTACTGCTTTATGATTCCATGAGAAGTAGGATAGAGATGTATGAAGGGGATATCCGTTGTTGATCATGTTAGGAACCACTCTTGTTTACTTAAAGACCCGTTTAGGGAAATTCCGCATTGTGTGCTTTCTGTGTGCTATTTGTGTTTGTTTAAAACCCTACCTTTGAAGTAGGTATTTCGCACGTGTGTTTAAATTTGTGCTTGTATAGCTGGATGACGGTTTTAGGTCCTTTTATGGGAACCATTCATAAGTCCTAAAAAAAAGGCAAGTGGAAAGGGTTAGAAATCGACCCCCATCAGTTTTCATCTGTGTCGTTCCTATGCTCACTTTTTGCAAGTTCTGAGCTCCGAACATGTTCCTAAGATCAAGTACATCGAGTCATCAAGTGGGGAAGGGTTTTGCAATCAAACCCCCATACTTTTTCAAGAGTTTGCATTGGCCAATGCTGACACTCTATGATCATTCATATTGTCTTCTGTCACCTACCTCGATCTTCTATATCTTGGTTAGGAATTTACCCGAGTTAGTGTGCACTACTCATGGCATGTGTGTGCTCTTTCGAGCTTGCTTATTCGCTTTCCATACCATGTTCCCTTAGGATGTACTTGTTCCTTTCGGATGCAAGTTAGACTTTAGGTTGCAAATGATGCATGCTAACATTAGGTAGAGATCTTCCTCTCATCCTTGACGTAAGGCTACCATTGTATGATAACATTAGGATTAGAAATAGGCTAGTCTCCCTTAGACTTTTTTCTTCCCCCTTTTGCATCCTTGCATGTAAAACTAAAACCTTTGTTTTTTTAGAAAATCAAAACATTCTAATCACACTTAAACCCTTTTTCAAGGTGATAAAACACAAACCAATGAAACGTGGCATCTTGCCTTGAGAGCGTAACTCAAAACCATTTTCAGACAAGGACATGTTAATTTACTTCTGTGCCAATGCGTGAGTCTCCAAAGGTCGAGCTGCGGTAGAAGGAAGAATTAACATTGTTCATAAAAGACACAAAACAAACAAAACATGTGAGCCGAACTGCGGTAACTTTGATTCCTCAAAAAAGATATGTAGGCATTGGGGTAGGGCCCAAGCGAGCACAAATTTATTTTCCCTATATTATTTTCTCTTTTCTTTTGCATGCATTCTTCCTCAGTAGTACAATAAGCATAGATTAAACACACATAAGACAGATAACAAGAGTGGATACCGTAGAGTACTACGGGTGTGTGGGGTGCTAATACCTTCCACTCGCGTAACAGACTCCTTTACCTGATCTCTCGGTCACAAGACTGTGGCTTCTCCCTTCTCAGGTTTTCTTGATGTTTATCTATCCCTCCGTGTGGCATAAAATATGTTCGACGATGAATTCATTGTTTGATGATTTTCAGTCAGTTGTTTTAGATGGCAGTCAGTTTCCATAGTCGACCAATAGTAACCCGCTCTCAGAATCTTCTTAGCCATAGTATTCCCACTGGAGTGAGTACAAAAGATTCCTTCGTGCATATCTTCCATAATTTTCTCAACTTCCTTCTTGTCCATACAACGAAGCATAGTCGAATCATGATTGTGCTTGTACAAAATTTCATTGCTCAGGAAGAACTTAGCAGAGAACCTCCGTAGGAATTTCTTGTCATTGATAGATGCTTCCTCAGGGTACTCTTGAGCCTCAAGGTATCTTTTAACTTCATGAAACCAAGGCTTCTCTTCTACTCCGTCAGTTCCAACTTCATAGCAATATGCAGGTTCATCTAGCCTCTCAATGATAATTCTGGGAGCCTCGTTGTCACATCTAACTTTGAACATAGATGACATGGTTGCTAATGCATCTGCCAACTGATTCTCTTCTTGTGGGATATGTTCAAAAATGATCTCCTCGAAGTACAGAATTAAGGTCAGCACATGCTCTCAAAAAGGAATGAGGTTCGGATGCTTCATATCCCATTCTATTTTAATCTGGCTTATCACTAGGGATGATTCCCCGTATATGCTCAAGAACTTAACTCTTAGGTCCATAGCAGCTTTAATACCCATGATGCACGCTTCGTATTCAGCCATGTTGTTGGTACAAGCATAATTTGGCGGTGAAGGGCGTATGGAAACCCTGAGGAGACATAATTATGGAACCAATTTCGTTGCCAAGTGCAGTAGAAGCTCTGTCAAAAACCATAGTCCATCGGGATCCTGGCCCAGGTCCTTCTACGGCTTGACGAGCCAAATGATCTTCCAGTACTCTCCCTTTGATTTCTTTTTGAGTGGTGTACTGAATGTCCTATTTTGTCAAGACCATTTTCCATTGGTTATTCTTCTGGAGAGTGCGGGCTTCTCGAATATGTATTTGATGGGATCCATTTTAGAGATTAACAAAGTGGTATGAGTTAACATATATTATCTTAGTCTGTGAGCAACCCATGCCAAAGCGCATCAATTTTTCTTGAGCATTAGGTATCTTGTTTCACAGTCAGTAAACTTTTTGCTAAGGTAGTATATTGCATGCTCTTTTCTACCAGACTCGTCATGGTGGCCCAGTATACACCCCATTAAATTTTCTAGCACTGTTAGGTACATGATTAGAGGTCTTCCTTCAACTGGTGGCATCAGAATCAGAGGTTCTTGGAGGTACTCCTTGATTTTGTAAAAAGATGTCTGACAATCATCATTCCATTTTACTACCTGGTCTTTCTTTAACAACTTGAAGATCGGCTCATAAGTAGCAGTCAAATGAGAAATTAATCGGAAAATATAATTTAGTCTTCCCAAGAAACCTCTGACTTCCTTCTTAGTACAGGGAACATACATTGCTTGAAT